AATTCTTCACCGTTTACTTATTTTTGAAATCGGAACAATATAAACAATTATTAGTAATTTAACAAAACAAAATAAAAGTAATACAATAATAATTAAAAAGTAATATAATAAAAATTAAAATATTAAATCAGAAATGCAAAGTACTAAATAAATCATAAAATAAAATAAAATTCGGTAAAAAAAAGGACACTTTCTAAATTAAACGAAATATGAAATAAAGTAAAAAGAACGCATATACTCCAAGAAGAACATCAAGTCTTGTCACAGAGAACCGGTTTTGGTGGAGTTAGAGCTTTTTCAACAAAAATTTTTAGGTTTATTTTTTTTTAGTTTTTTTTTTCTTGTTATGTTTTGTACTGCTTGCATCCATCAAACAACTTCTACATAACCGCTGAACAACTGAGTCTTCATAACCGCTAAGTGAACGATAGTCTCTATAAATTTCTAAATAAATATTAAGTCTAATATGACAGTTTAAGAAATAATAAAACGTCCATAATTTTCAAGATTTATCGTCTTCACCCTTTCTTATTTTTCGAATACAAACATTAATCTTATTTCATGAATACGATTATTAAAACCTAATTATTTTAAAATAGTTTTTAACTAATATTAAAATGATAAGAAATTTATCAACAAAATACTACTTATGCCTCTTTCAAATTTCAAAAAAATAGTGATATTATAGTAATAATCTTTTATAGTATAATCTTTTAATATTAATAATCTTTTTATCTCGCAAATGTTTTGAAATGTATTGCAACAGAATTAACATGCTACGACTTAAGATATGACGCTTTCAGTTTCTTGGCATTGTAAAAGCAAGTGCGATATGATTATATAAAACGCAATCGGCATGTTGCGATCATCCCACCCTTAGATTCTAATAATTATAGAAGTAATTAAATTATATAAGGGGAGACCGGGGCTAGATGATTATATTATGACTATTGTTGCTTATTAACTTATTTTCAAGGATAGTAAAATTAATTTTACATGAACATGTTAAAGTAGTCCTTTGTGATATCAAATATATTAACATTTACTTATTCAAATTAAAGAAAAAAAATTTTATTCATTTTTTCACAACCAAGTAAATTTACAAAACCTTTATCATCATTCCTTACCGTGACGCGAAATATGTCCAAAGCTCGTTTCGAACTTGGATCTCCTGCTTATAAAGCAAGCGCTCTAACCACTGCGCTACGACCGCATTAATGTTGCTCCTTAGTGAAAAACCGAAAATTTAAGACATTTTTTATCTCGCTCCGGTCTTTTAGAAAAAAAGTACGATAAAATTTTTTTAGAATGATAAACTGCCCAGCATAATTTGTATATTATATTATAACTTTTTAAAATATTATAGTTTTAAATTTCAAGTCGTAAATGTTTTTATGATGCCACTATAAACAAATGGTAATCTTAAAAAAAAATTAACTACTTAAGATTATCGTGGCCGATCACTTCCTTGACAAAACTTCAACTTAGAAATTTCAGGTAATTTTCATTTTTAAAGACTTTGAAAAAAGTTGAAACTAATGCGTTTTTTAGATACAACCCAGCGGGCACAGACGTCAATCAGACGTTATACGGACGTCTTAACTAGGTCGCGACGTCTCAGACCAAATTAGGACGTCTTAAAGACGTCCAGTAAAGACGTCTTTGTTAGGACGTCCTAGTGGCGTTAATATAAAGACGATATTTGGACTTCCAAATTTAGACGTCTTATTGATGTCGCAAAGACCTACATAAGACGTCCTAATTACCTTAAAAATTAAGTAGAAAAATTTATATTATCAACTTGGCGCATACAATATTATGCGCTAACTCGGTTAAATAAAAATGTGTACTTGTTTTGGTTGATTATATTGATATTAATAATTTTGATTAGTTATTTATCGTTTAAAGATATTTTTCAATTTTCTATATTCTATACTCTATTATCTATAAACTTTAATCTATACAATTTTTAAATAAAAGAAAATCGAGTTTAGCTATTAAGTGTAACTAAGTTACAAGCATAATGAGGGAATTTTAATGAAAGACATCAAAATTGGACCAAGACGTTCATTTTGTGTTTTATAGAATAGTAATGGTATTTTGTGTGTCTGTATATATATATATATATATATATATATATATATATATATATATATATATATATATATATATATATATATATATATATATATATATATATATATATATATATATATATATATATATATATATATATATATATATATATATATTTATATACAGACACACAAAATACCATTACTATTCTATAAAACACAAAGTGAACGTCTTGGTACAATTTTGATGTCTTTCATTAAAATTCCCTCATTATGCTTGTAACTTGTATACTTTGTTGTTTTACTTCATTTGATGGTTGTTTAATTGTGGGTTGTATATATAATTATTTATATATACATGATTTATACATTATATTATAATGTTTACCTTATGCATACATATTCATTATATATATATATATATATATATATATATATATATATATATATATATATATATATATATATATATATATATATATATATATATATATATATATATATATATATATATATATATATATATATATATATATATATATATATATATATATATATATATATATATATATATATATATATATATATATATATATATATTATGTGTGTATGTTTGTGCATGTGTGTATTGATAAATGTTGTATACTATTCTCTAAAAGGAAAAAAAATTTTACTATTGCTTTGATTTCGCTGAGTATAGGACATTTGATGTTAGATGCTGTTGCAACGCTAAACTTCCATTATAAAGATGTATTTCCGCATTTAAATTATTATTTGATATATATATATATATATATATATATATATATATATATATATATATATATATATATATATGCAATTGCAATGCTCCTAAAGAACAGAGCAATCAGGGTTGCATAGTCATAGAGTTGGAGTTGCGACATTGAAAGTGGAGTCAGAGTCGTTAAACAAAATCGCGACTCTGACTCTAATAGTAAAACTTCTCTGTATTGCATGTGTATGTACAAATTATTTAACCTTAAAAGAACTTTTCATATATTTGGCAAAAAAGATTTTTTTATTCATTGCATTAAGAATTTAAAGAAATATTCAAAAATTTTGCTTTGGAGTCGGAATTAAAGTAGGAGTCATTCTCTGAAAATTTCAGAGATTGGTACTTTTTTTTCCAACTCCACATGCCTGAGAGCAATATATATACATACATACATACATACATACATACATACATACATACATACATACATACATACATACATACATACATACATATATATTTATATATATATATATATATATATATATATATATATATATATATATATATATATATATATATATATATATATATTTATATATATATTTATATATATATATATAAGTATATATATATATATATATTTATATATATATATATATATATATTTATATATATATATATATATATATAAGTATATATATATATATATATTTATATATATATATATATATATTTATATATATATTTATATTTATATATATATATATATAAGCATTTATCATCTTTTTTATATATGTAGACTGCCAACAGACACTACTTTGTCAGAATACAGCATTAATGGTCTAAAGAAGAAAAAAAAGTTTGAAGAGTTGACAAGTTTATGTAACGCTGTCACTGGTATTCTTTTTAGCTTATTAATGTGTTTGATTAATTTTTAAAATTAAAAATGATATTTTAATAAAATATATTTTTTTTAAATATTTTTGGCTATGGAACATGACATGTATTCAAGTATATTTTATTTTATGATCTTTATGAAATATGTGTTGTTGTTTTTATTAGAAGCTGCTTTAAAGTCAAATAAAAACTTAACCAAAATGGATACCATCCAACTTATTGGGAGAGTAATTAGGGATTCTTCTGACCAATTAAAGAGAACATCTACTAATATGGATATCGATCAATGATGACTTAATTAGCTGTTGTATTTTTTAGTTATTTTCCATTTTTCCGCAATTTTTTTCTATTTATAATGATCGATTATATTCTACAGTACTTATTAGTTTTTAATTTGGAAAGTGTAACTTTGTTTGAAAAATTATTCTTATTTTTTGTAAAGTTATTAATTTACTTTAAATATATCAAATTACACTTTATTTACTTTGATTTCTTTTTATAACTTTCCTTGCCAAGATTAAGGCAAATCTAAGGTGTGTGTTGTAAATCATTGCATTTTTATATAACTTTTAAAAGAATGTCTTGGTAAAATTCAGATGTCTCTAGGACGTCAGAATAAGATGTCCTTAAGTCTTTCATATGAGACCAGATAGAGACGTCTTTAGAACGTCTGCGGAAAACGTCTCTAGGACGTCTTTAAAAGACGTCTTTAAAACATCTGAAATAGACGTCTCCAAGTCTTTCATTTGAGACCAACTAAGGACGTTTTACGGACGAGACTTGAGACGTCTTTTGGACGTCCTTAGGACGTCAAAATGCCCGCTGGGAATAGCTTAAACGAAAATTGGTAGCAGTTTTTCTATAGAAGTTACCAGCATATAAAAGGCGTGAAACAGCTAATCAAGCCATATAAAAGGCTTGAAACAATCTATCAAGCTAATCAAAATTTTTATTAAGTTTTTTATTTTGAAACTTCTGTATATCTAAAAAAAATGAACAACCTTAAACACCATGAAAAATACCGCCTGGCTTATAATTTCATCGGCCCGCTAACCCGCCAAGCCACACGGAATATATTTAATCGAATAAGTCGGAATCTGAACTTAGATGTGTTTATAGTACTGGCACAAAAAGAGAAAGACCTCGATGTTTGGATACCACACAAAATGAACGCTAAAACGGGACCACAATTTTTGAATTGATTTTTAGAGATGTTGTTTACAGTTAAGTTAACAACCCGTTAAACAAGAAAAATTATTACAGAAGGATTAAACAATAAGAAAACCAAATTATTAAAATTTTTTAAAAAATATAAATATATTACAGAAAATAAATGTTCTATTTAACATAGTCCTAAAAAAATATTTATTAGAAAATGCGTTAAAAATTCATTAAAAACTCCATTTTGAAAAATACATTAAAAAATTCACTAAAAAACATTTAAAATTTTATTAAAAAAAAACTTAATAAAACATTTTTTTTTTCCAATAAACTAGTGCATTCTTTTGCAAGAGGGAATTGTTATTAAAGATGGTAAAAAACCCGGCAAATCAACCGGTTTTGAATCGAGGCTATCGTCATTTCTTGATTTAGAGTCTTTAATAACATCTCGAGGATATTTTGCTATATTATCCATAAATTGCTGGTTTGTACGCCAGTCTTCTTCCTTAAAACAGAAAGGAATTAAATTTATTATGTTCAACAAACAGTTTTACTTATTTTTATGCAAGTATACAAGACATTTAAACTCAACACTCAAACGGCGTTCGTTTGTACTGAACATGTGCAAAAAAAAACTATTAAAAATTATTAAAACTAATAAAATAATAAATAATAACTCACAAAATCCAAATGACTGTAATATGGTTGCTTGGCAACAATTCGCTTTATAATGGCCTAAAAACATGTATGACACACATTATTCGGGACATACTAACATATTATTGTAAAAATAAATATCATCATTATTCTATAAAAGTTTATTATAAAAAAAACAAACATGTTAACACCTTATCATACACACTAACTTTATCACATTTTTAAAAGTTGCAAGAGATTTTAAAAAATGTGACTCTTGATATATTTACTGATTTAATACCTATTAACATTCAGCTCAACCTCAAGATATTATTATACATAAAAAAAACTTTATATTTTTTCACAATTTTTATCTTGTTCTAAATTTTTCTTTTTTGTTGCTATCTTTATTTATTTCACCCTCAACACATTTACATGCCTTCACCAACATATTTACATACTTTCACCAACACATTTACATGCCTTTACCAACACATTTACATGTCTTCACTAACAAAACTTTTGAACAAAATATTCAGATTTATTCTTAGAAGCTCTTTAAAATATTGTTCTTGCATCAGTACAAGCTAGGAAAGGTTTTTCTAGCCATGGACTGTTAAAGAAATTTTAAAAATGATGAAACATTAAATGTGTAAAACTTTTTTTAAAAAAATTTGGTTTTCATTGATATTGTTGTTGGAATGTGCATCAAATAAAATCTTTTTATGCTCACTATGTATAACTTTTGTGTACTTTAACATGGAAAAATAAAATTCAAATTAGTTTAAAATTTTTTAAAAATAGTTTAAAACTAATCAGGTTCCAGCAAAAAAAGTTCTGACTGAAAGCCTTTAAAAACTGTTTTCAAAAAACATTGTTTTCAAAGAACATTTTTCATGATAAAATAAACTAAATAAAAGGGTAAAATGAAAAAATAAGAAAAAATTTTGCATAAAAAAAAGAAAGAAAATAGCACCTACAAAGACCTTAATTATATTGGTATATCATTCAAAAGTTTCACTTTCATACACTAGCCTTGCTTCAGACATTTAAAACAATGAAGTTATTTATAAGATCAGTGATAGATGAATAAAGTAACAACTGGAGTTAGCAGAAACATTTGTCAAGAAGCATTTGCATACTAGAACTTAAATTCTTTTATATAAACTACTTTGTTCTTCTACATAGAATGACACTCTACAATATCTTTTATTTAAAAAAGTAGTACAGATACTGATATATAGTCATTTGGATCATTGTTTGGACTATTTTAATATTTTTTCACATACGTTAAATATATATTTTTTTAAAGTATTTTTTAAGTTTACCTGGTTTTCATGGTTTACTCTATGTAACTCTCGTTGTCTTTTTGATTGATTTAAACTTTTATGTTCGTATTCATTCCTATTATCAACACTGCCTTTTGTTTTCTCAATAAAACTCATCTTATGAAATAATATCATATTATCTCTTTGAACTGTAGCTAAATGTTCTTCTTCAATCTATAATAATAATAAAAGTAATAACAATATTAACAATAATAGGAAAGCTTCAAGAGTTTGAGGATGGGTTTAAACAACTTGAGGTAACCTTTTACTCCCATTTAGACCTTTGAAAACTAAAAATTGATCCACAAAAACCAATTTTAGACTATTTATAAAATTGATAAATTTGATTTTTCACGGCTTTTGCACGTGACAAACAACTATATAGTGCAAAAAACTATGATAATGTGTCTTTTCAAAAAGCTTTACATATTGCATACACTTGCAATATGTACTATCAAACCAATTACTAGATCAATTTATATAGTTTTAAAGCAGGAACTACACAGTAAATTTAACATGATTTAGATACTAAAGCCTGTAAAGAACTTTTACATGTCCCCTAATTTTGTATGATAATGATTAAGTGTTAAAGCTGAATATTTTCTACAAAGACTAATATAGAAAAAATCCCAGTATAAAGACCACTGATATCTGCATTCTGATAGCTGTGGACTGTTATGAAGCATAAATTTTGAAAACTCAAGTTACTAATTCTACCCAATTAAGCTCTTCTATTTTCTAATAAAACCTTATCAGATTTAAAATTTTATCTAGAAGGTACTAGCATAGTTGATTACAGAACTATAGCTGTGAACAGAGTAGCAAAAGTAAAAACTATTACCTCTAAAAACCAGAAATATCTTGTTTTCATTGAAAATATTATTAATACAAAATATAACAAAAATACCAGCTTTTTTTTTTGTCAATACTCTTGCCTGCCCAAATAATTTGAGAACAGTAACTTTATAAAAAGTTTCTGGATTTAAGATAAAATGATCAACATAAAAGATGAAAGTAACAGTAAAGAAAAATAAAGATGAGAATGATGAGGGTTATTGGAAAAGAGTAAAAATAAATAAAATAAAAATAAGAAAATCTGAAACTCTAGTGTTTGTATTTCCTAAAAAATTAATGGTTGATACTAATGTTATAGCTATGCTAGACAGAGCAAAGATATCAAATAGAAAACCAATTTGTCTTAATTTTTTTTTTTAATAAATTCACCTCCACAAGGCTCCAGAGGACACTACAGTCAAGAAGACTACTAATTATTTTTGTAACCTTTTTTATTTGTAACTCTCTCAATCCTAAACTTCAAGATTGAGTGCAGTCCATAGACATACATACTTCCATAAATCACTTTTGGTGGATTTGAAATCTTTAACCTCTTGATTATGAGCCAAAAGTTCTACCTATCTACTATCGCATTTCACAAGTTATAAACTAGGGTAAGGGCACTAGTCCTCGGCCTCTTAAGGGAATAATAAACAGAAATATTCAGAAAAAATTCAAAAAATAGAGTAGCCTAGTGAAATAAACCTTCACTTCTTGCAGAACTTTTGAACTTGCAATCAAAACAAATGTTTAGTTGGTTGATTATCAAAGAGTGTACCCCAAGACACCTAGGAGAGAGAGAATGAGAATTTTAGTTCTCGCCCAGGAAATTTAGCAAAATTTAGAAAAATTTTGCAAGTCAGCCGGAAAAATTCATCAAGTCAGCCAGCTAGTTCATGAGAATTGTACAGGATCAAATTCTCTGGGTGTTCTCATGGTAGCCTACTTGAAACTGTACTAGGATCACAAAAATAAATAAACACAAAACTTTGGCTTGAATAATAATATATAGCTAGATATTTCAATGAAATATTTGGCAGATATATTAAAGAATAGCAGTCTTTCACAGGAAGGTGTGCGATTTCACGTCTTAATATGACCATGCAAATTACATTTTGTTATGATGGTTTGACCGAGGCTAATTCAAAAAACATTTTAAAAACATGCTAAATGAAAAATATTCTAAATAAGTGAAATGAATTACATCAAAACTTCTAAACAAATGTTTTTATATTAGCGAAACGATTTTAAAGTAACAATTTACTGAAAATGTTTTATTTTTTTTAAATATAATTGACAGTTGTATATATTTTTTAATTTATAACATATAAATTGTTTAAGTATTCATTTTTAAAATAAACGTTATTAAAAAATAAAAAATTGTTTTGTTTTTATAAATGATGACATTCTACGACTGCGAAAGTCTTTTTAACGAATTTAAATATAAGAATAATTAAAGTTAATGCATTTCAAAAGATAAACAAAATTTTGTTTAAAAAAAAAGTTTTAAAAAGCCGTTACAAGTTTGATTTTAAATATTTTTATATTATCGGCCCATAAAATTTGTAAATGATAAAACATAAGATACACATTCAAATAAATAAATAACAACCTGCATCTTTTTTAATTTACACTGAAGATGAGCATAAGTTTTAGGAGGGTGATTGTCAATAACTGGTCGAGCAAGATAAACCTAAAAAACACATATAATAAAAAAGAAACATCTAGCTTTAAAAGTTAAAAAAAAAGTTTTAAATACTTAATGATAATGAAAAACAATAATAACAGCTTCAATTGACATAGTAAAATTTGAAAAAAAGAAAATATATTAAATATACATTGTATATTAAAACATTAAAAAAAGGAAGGTGGAGAGGGTGGAGTTAAACTGTAAGCCTAGAGGTAGAAAAAAGCAAATAATGTTGTGTGCATGCAAATACATTATTATAAAAAGTTTTTAGATAATTTTCAAGTGCAAGTAAAAAGTTTTTAAAGTTGTTTGAACTGTCGTGAATTTTAAAATAAAACTAATTAAATAAAAATATTTACAGCATAACAATCTAATTTAAAAATTCTTTTTTATTTTTATAGTTTTTGAATTGATTAAAAGACAGTTAGTTTTGGAAACCTTAACATTTAAATCTGAAAACATGGGTAATGAAAACTTGGCTATTAAAAACATGGCTAATGAAAACATGGCTAATGAAATACAAATTACTATGATTGTCATATTCTTGACCAAAATTTTTGACGCGGTAGAAAACGCCACTAATATTTTTGATGTAACAAACAAACACACCCAAAATATTTTGTGTTGAAAAACACCAACAAAACAATGTGTTAAAAAATGCTTTAAAACAAAATATTTTTAATAAATAATTATAACTTTAAAAATTTTAATACCATTTTGCTTTTTTTTTATATCAGAGACAGTTGGGACCCCTGAAAATATTTTTCATTCGAAAAATTTTTAAATGCGGTGTTATTTTATTATATGGAAAAAATCTGGGGGTGTAACAGGAGGAATTTTCAATAAAAGTAATTTTCACCCCACCCTAATGTCAACATGGATATCTAAAAAAGCAAAATGGTATAAAAATTCAAAATTATAATTAGATTAAATAATAATATCCATAAAAAAAAAATCAATTAAAAAAAATTAACTTTTTTTGAATTTGAATTAAAAAATGATAGCTTTATACAAATATATTTGCTTAAAACTAAACTTTTTAAGACTCAGGATGATATATTTTCCCATTATTAGAGACCTGTCAAATGTTTGATAGTTTTGAGGGACTCATAAAGCAATAATCAAATTTGGTAAAACTTATTTTTAAGACATAATATATGAAAGGATAAAAAAAAATTTAACTTGCTATGTTTTAAATCAAAATCAAATCTAATCAGTATATTTTCACTTTGATAATAACTATATATATATATATATATATATATATATATATATATATATATATATATATATATATATATATATATATATATATATATATATATATATATATACATACAATTGTGCAGGACATTTACAAACAGTTACAAACTGATGACGTGTAAATACCTATGATGGTATAAATGATAATAATAATTATGATAATAACAATAATAATAATTTATAACAATAATAATAATAATAATAATAATAACAATAATAATAACAACAACAACAACAACAACAATAATAGCAATAATAATGATAAAAATAGTAAGAATAATATTAAACACAGTAATATAAAAAAAAAATATAATTTATATATATTTATACTACTATATTCATAATAAAACATTTGTAGCAAATAGTAATTATCATTAGTAATAATGCAAAATATAAAAATCATAATATTATTAATTACAAAAAAATATAACAGATAAAAAGGAGAAAAGAAAACGGAGAGAAGTTTAATGACTTGGAAAGTAGAGTTAAAGAAGTAGAAGAGGAGAGTTTTGTTATGTACCAGAATTTTTTAACCATAATAATTTAAAAGGAAGTAGAAATATTGATATATGCATTAAAATAAAATTAATTAAAATTTTTTTTTTTTCAGAGAACTAAGTGGGGGATTGCATAAAAAATAGTTTATTATTTATTTTTTATTTATTACATGCTACATAGTTTAATAACAATGCCACAAACTTTAGAGCCATATAAACTTTACAGTATGATGAAAATGAGGGTATTTGATTGAGATTAAATAAATACTTATATATTTTTTATGTTTTATTTTTAGAGTTTTATACTTTTATTTTATGAGTTTTATATTTTTATTTCTATTTAATGGGTTTTATACTTTTATTTATGAGTTTTATACTTTTATTCTATCACCAATTTAGTTATAGAGAATAACTAAAAGGGGTGATTGCATAAATGATAGTTCATTAATTATTTTTAATTGAGAACAAACTTTTTTACATGGGTTACAAAGGCATTTTTAGTTGTCATTTTGAAGAATATTTTTTTTAGTTTCAACAGGAAGAGAGTTCCATCAGTGAATTGATTAATACTTTATTGAACTTATGCCATAATTTTTTTTGTTAATTTATAATTTTGTTATTTAGGTGCCCCAAGAAGACCTAACTTTTTGGGGCACCTAAGTCTCTCAAGAGCGCCACAGAAGTGCATTTAACAAAGAAGTTCACACCTCCTTCCTTAATGCAACGCAAAAATATGTCCAGAGCTCGTTTCGAACCTGGATGTTCCTGCTTCTAAAGCAAGCACTCTATTCGCTGCGCCACAGCTGCACAAACTTATGTGTTTGTTGTAAAGGTATAGAGAGACTACAATAAGATACAGACCTAAATTTACAACTATGAGTATCATTTGTGAATTTAAAAAATCTAGTGAATCGTATTATTGTAAATAATATCCCATACAAGTACACAGTTTGATAAGTAGATAAGTTCATCAAGCTTTAAAATTTTAGAAAGACTATATAGTACGTCAGAACTAAAATTGTTAGGTTGACATTGAATTATTTAAAGAAGAAACAGATTGACATGATTATCAAGTAATCTTTCAAATGGATCCAAAAAACTTAGAAGTAGAGTTATTAACACCATAGTTCCCTTGTTGGTTTATTGAAAGCCAATCTGTTTCTTCTTTAAGGTCTTTAAGAATTTTTTTTTCATCAAAATTTTTAAAACCTCTATGATATACTTTGGGATGATACTGTTTTAAGTTCTTGCATGGATATGAACTGAATAAGATGGTCAGTAAGGGATACTGTTAGGTTGCCTGACTTAGTATTTGGAGTGTGAAAGTTTACAAATATATTATCTATGAGTATCTTTGGTTTTGGAAATTTCTGGTTGGTTGAGTAATTAATGGGAAGTGGGAGAAAGAGCACATAAGATCTAGAAAGTTAGAAACATTATTACAGGAGTCATATTTTAAAAGATTAATGTTGAAGTCTCTTAAAAGAACTATATTTTTATTCTCTAGTGATAACTTGTCAAGTAGGGTTTGTATAAAAGTGATATTGAACTCACTAGTGTTCATACATAGGTGGCAATAAATGAAATCTACAATAATATTTTTTTCTGATGGCAGTAAAACTTGAATAAAGGTTGATTCTAGTTCTTTATTTCTCTGTATTTTGAGGTCAGATCTTAAGTTATATTTTAATTCAGATTTTATATATATGAGTTCTTCCTTTACTAGAATGAGAATCAGTACGTTTAAAAACATAACCATTTAAAGTGATATCAGTTCTAAGTGTTTTGATTAAAGCGAGTTTCAAATATAGCAATGATATTGGGTTTATTATTCATAAGGGAAAGCAGAAGATTTAGATTATCAAGGTAATATGCCAGGGATGATATATTTACATGTAAATAGGTGTTTGAATCAATAGTAATAGTTTTGTTATACTCTGTTGTATTTACAATTATTATTATCAAGTTTATTAAGATTTTGAAAAAGATTTTTTATGTTAGATGATGTGTCATAAAATAAATTATAATTAAAATTATTTGCACCATTTATAGTGCAAATACTTTTTCACGACCATTTATACCTTAAAATCCTTATTTGTCAAAGAATGATATGGTAGAGTGTTTTCCAAGCCATTTGAACAGTATCAATAGCCAGTTTCAGTCATCAAAAACTTGTAGCATTTGTTATCAACATTATTACACCTAATGTGGATACACTTATTGCAAAAGTCGCACTGTATAGCTTTTTGATTACATGTTACAGTTTTATAACAAACATTACAAAAAGACTTTACAACCATATTATTCACTTCAGCATTTAGATTTTAAAGATGAGAAAAGGGTATTTGATTGAACTAAATGTATATTGGTATTTTTATTAGGTTTTATTTTTAATTTATGAGCTTTATATTTTTATTTTATGAGTTTTATATTTTTATTCATGAGTTTTATACATTTTTATTTTGTTAGAGTTTTATTTGTATTTTTGGTTTCAAACTTTAGTCTATATATTATATTTTATATATTAGTGAAAACTACGCAATACTGTGTTTGAGTAAAAGTAAAGAATCTAACAATATTTTACAAGTAAAAAATGTAACATTTTTGAATTCATAATAATTCTAACAGAGATAAGTAATGTATTAAATATTTGTATTATAAAATATAGTTACTTATAAGAATACTTAAAAAAACTTTATATATACACGCATACAAAATAGATCCAATGTGTTTTTGCACAGTATTACCTAAATAAATATTATCTAAATTACAAATCTATGTAAACACACTCTAAATAGAAGAGTTTTTTGTAAAATGCCTTATTTTACCGGGACAAAATGTTACATTAAACATATTTTTAAATTCCCCATAAATAAAGCTAAAAGTATATGGAACCAGTCTTTCTGTAAAATTTCCAACCTAAAAATAGTTCAGCAACATAGTAATAATTTTATGAGCAATAGTTTTATCATTATTATCATTGCTATTATTATAACTATTATTATTTTTACAATTATGTCTCTTTTACAACTCAACAACATTGCCTTTCCTTGACTTAGAGCCTGTAATCAGTTATTTTCTTCTTCCTACTATTTTTACTGTTTGGTGATTTTCATAATATGAGCTAATTATCTCTTATTGTTGGAAAAGTATCTCTTACTGTTGGAAAAGCATTAAATGAAACAAGTTTGTATAATAATAATGAATAATAATGAATAGTAAATACCTTTTTTCTATGAATATCATATTTGGTCATATCCCAACGTTTTTTAAGCAACTTATTATGTGCTGGAGTAATAGGCTGATACGCTCTATGCATATTATCGATTTTAATTATAAAAAAAAATTAATTTAAACGATTTATATTATTAAAAAAAAAGTGTTTGAAACTATTCTAAATTTAATTTTCCTATCCGTGTCTCTAATGTGCGCGAACTGTTTGTCTGTTTCCAAGGTTACAGAAGCGTCAAAAGTCCTTCGGAAGCGTAACAACTCCGCGCTTAGATAACCATAGATATCAAAGAATGATAACCATAAATACCAGATAACCATAGAAACCAAAGGTGAGTTTCCACTCATCCGTTTTTTCAGAGGAACGGGCAAGAGAAGGGAAAAATAATCATGTGGGCATGCATATTATAAGTTTTAATTTGTCCGACATAAAACTACGTATGCTCACGTGATTATTTTTCCCATTCCTATCCCGTTCCCGTGGAAAAGCGGATGAGTGGAAACTCATCCGCTTTTCCACGGTGGAAGTTTATTACTGTTTACACGAGTATTAATTAAGATACATCTAATACAAACACAACTGCTATAATTACAATGTGTATTGTTCAACACTACGAAAAAACTAAATTATGATCTTTTAAATGGTGTAACACAATTTATAATTGTGTATGGAGTCTCACAAGGGTTAATCCTGGGACCATTACTAACGACTTTAAATAAGAAAAAAAAGTTCAATACGGAATGCCTCAGAAAAAGCAATATTTGTCATGCAAATTGTTGCTAACAACTCGGTGTAGTTAAGGTTATTTACAAGTTATTCAAATTCTTTAATTTGAAATTAGCATGATTTTATCAACGTATTATGTTAAAACAAGAGCTTTAGATGTTATAATTTTTTTTGCTTCAGGTTTTTTTAATATTTAAAGAAACTTTTTTTTTTTTTTACATAACTTTCAAAACATTCTTACAACCCCTAATAGTGAATCTAAATAACACCATTTTGGAGTCTTTAGATCACTTTCGCTCATTGGCGTTAACATGAATTTAGTTAAAATCTTTTTAAAAAATGCCTTAATACACTATAGATCTCAGTTCTAATCGGTTCTGACGAATATTAACTACATATAGTTGTCAAAATACAATATTTCTGTCAGTTTTCACAAAAAATACTAGAATTCCGACCAAGAAAGAACATATAATTAAGAAAAATTGCCAATAAATGATCGGAACAGATCATATTATTAAACAATGACGTTCATTTCACCTAAAAAGCGTATTTATTTAGAATCTTATTCAAATTAGGACAAACGATCGTGATTTTAAGAAGATTAAAAAAAAAAAATCTTCTTAAAATCACAATTGCTTTAACCAAAGCATCAAGCAAAACAAAACTACCACTAAAATACATAAAACGCGACGGGACAGCATCATAAAAACAACTGAAACAAATGTGTTAAGCATTTATATTCCAAAATTATCTCTTTTATTCGAAAGTAAAAAGACTCGTTGTTTATAGCATTAAAATATTCAATAAATGACTAAAAACCTTTTATTTTATCTTTCCATAAACACTAAAAACATTAAAATCGAAGTTTTCACATTAGTTTTCACACATAGCAATTTACTACCATAATCTCTTTATAGTCGTTTGAATAAATTACTAAACAAAAACGTTTCAGCTTTTATATAACTTTTGCCCCATAGTATTAAGTTAAAACTTCAAACTAGTAGATAATAAAATCATCGAATATTTGTAAACAAAATAAAACAACGAGCTTCGTGATTTTTTTTTAAAAATAAACCAATCAATACGGCATTTTTTGTAAACGAAAGAGCCTAAGCTATTTTTTTATTCGGATCTCTCCTTAACTACACTGTGTACCGCAAAATTTATTTAATTGCCTTAACTACACCGAGAAGAAGGTTTTCAATTTTACATTGAATTTATTAAAGGTTTCAAGTGTTTTTATAAGTTACAAGTTTGTAACTTATTAAGTAAGTTGTTGTACGGAACCAAGAGTATGCTTTTGGTAATAGAGATCAAAAAATCAATTAATACAGGTTTTGATAATAAGATAATTAATAGAGATTGAAAACTCAATTGCATAAAAAAAAGCTATTGGCTGAATATAATTGTTATTTGAAAACCTGGTAAAGTATTTATACTAATTCATAAATAACAAGTTAAAATGTCAAATGTATTTTTTTTATTGACTTTGAATATTAAAGTTAAGTGATTTGTTAAATATTCACAGTATATTTAATTGCGTGTTTTTTCGTTTAATAAAAGGGTTTTAAATTTATTTTTAACATAAGCTGTACAAAAAAATGTTTATTTAAGGTAACAACCAATATAAAAAATAAACATCATCCTTAAACCAATTAGATTATATAAAGGCTTTGCTTTATAAAACAGACCAATATTTTTTGATTTTAATCAAAAAATAAAGTTTAATCTTTAAGTTAACATTTATTGTTTTTCCTGATTTTATTTTTGCAAAGAGACATCTAAAAAATTTTAATTTTCGTTTTATTTTATTACAGAGCTTGCTATATAACCATTAAAAGTTTTAACAGAATATCGTCACAATCATAGAAGCGATGAAAAAAATGAATACTTTCATTCATGGAAACGATGGAAAGAGAAAAAAAAATTTGTTTTAAATAAAGAATGTTACTACATATTTTTACCTTAATGTAGTGAAATTTCTTGAAAATTTTAAATTTTATTGTCCTTTTCATTACAGAAATTAAGAAAATTGTTTAACATAGACTGCTTACAAGACACTTTTTTTTTCACCAAATTCGGTCAAAAAAATGAAATTAAAAAAAAAACTTTTTGCAAGGTCTATAATACCAAAAGCCAAAAACCTTACAGCAATTTTTTTAGCAATTCATATTAGTGTTAAGCATGGGTAAGAAAATTAAAGGTTTGTTCTTCTATGGAGTGTTTAGAAAAACCAAATCTTTCTAGTGTTCTAATACTGATCACAATATTTTTTTTATGTTTGAATTCTATCTAAAGAGTATTAAAACTTTTACTAAAGGTTGCATAAACTAAAACTTGCTTAAAATTTTCTTTTTTGAGAGTTTTAAAACTTTCTAACCAAAACTCTGTAATAACACAATGATACAAATTTTTACAAAAATTTTGCTCACAATAAATTTTTTTATATTTTATTTTCAATTTTCTTTTCTAATTCCAAACATGTAAAAACAATTTCTGTATCATTGACCGCATCAAATTTACAACGTTTTTATCGGCAACAGAGCGCTATTGCGTCATTGGTGCCTCACAAGATTTTTCATGGGATGTTGTAAGTGCATTTCTTTTGTTGCAGACACTTGCATAAAGAAAGAAAAGCAACCAGTTATAAGACAAGACAATTACAAGAGGTAATTTTATATATATATTGTAGACAAAAAATACGTCATTATTAGGTATTTCAAATACGAAGTTTTCGGTTTCCGCATTGTAAAATCTTTCGATAAACGTATTTAAAAACGTTATCAATTATCGTGTAAATAACGTTATCAAATATCGTGTATTTAAAAACGTGCGTGTACAAATTTAAAACTTCTCAAGACCAAAATAAATTCTTTTAAAAACGAATATTTGCCGTTTTGGTAAGTTCTATTTTTCTCATAATGGGTATTAGAAAATGTTAAAATTCCTAAGATATATTTTGCTAAGTATGTGGATATTATATTGGCAAAAGCAGATGTAACATAGGATCGTGAAAGGTGCCATTTCTTGGATAGCGTACGCAAAGTAGTTAGGAATGCTCTTGGGTGATCAGGAAAAATATGGCCCCTCAAGTGTTATGTAGAACCTGCTGAACTACCCTAACAGGATATTTACACTAGAACAATTGTTTAGCCTCGCTTTCCAAATCAGATTGAGCAAAAAGATTTAATCAGAGATTTAGGTCTGACTAAGTCAGAGATTCTATCATAAAGGCTGATGGAATATAATCTACTAAGCGGAGATATGTATATACTATGTAGATATGTATAAGGACATAAAGAATCTGGAATATAAAATGACGTGAGAAATTATCTATGCTTTTGTAAAGGTGTGATCGGTTTGTTTACTTCTCTTAGATTTGAACACAAAGAGACTTCTTCACAATTGTGACTGTTCATAGATAGCTCAAAAATGAAACTTTATGCAGCGTATCTCCACAATGGAAATACATATCCGTTTTTACCTCTTAAACTCTTGGTAGAGAAGAAAAAAGAGCATGATTACGTTTCAGTACTTCTTAACAAAACTGATTGTTCTGAATTCAAGATGCTTGCATTCTTACTTGGCTTGCAAGAAGGATACACAAAATATTTATTTGTTTATTGCTTATGAGACAACAGGGCTGAGGATAATCATTACAAAAAAGTTCATCAATAAAGCAGCTTATAGTAATTCTAACAAAGAGTTTTTATACCAAACTAGAATTTGTAAAACAGTTTGTAAGTGTTTTAAATTTAGGAAAAGAAGCTTTATAAGAAGTTTGACATAAGCTTCCAAAGCTATTTGAGGCAAAGATCAAAGGTGATGTATCTTTGTTGAATCTCAGTTGGACCCCAAATAAAATAAATGTTGAAGTCAGAAAAGTTCTATAGAACAATAACAAAAGTTAAAAAAGAAACTTGGTATGCGTTTCATGATGTAGTTTGTAGATTCCTAGGTAATCGCAAGGATCCTTATTACAGACAAATGTTTGCAAAGCTTGTTAAAAACTCATGAAATTCGGTTGTCGTTTGTCCAAGGTTAATATGTTGCATTTACACCTCAATTTTTTACCCGAAACACACGAATAATGTCAGTGAGGAGCATGGTAAAAGATTTCATCAGGACGTGTCAAGAAAATATTAAATTAAACATTAATAAAAAACTTTCAATGTTACGTCAACACGAATGTGAATTTTGAATTTTTTTTTTTTTTTTTTTAACATCTTTACTTCCAACAAGGCTGCAAGCAACCACTATAAGAGTTGGAAGTTACTGGAAGAGAGAAGACTAAATCTGTAGAGCAAGATAACGATTGACTGATGACTTAAAAGATTGCAAATTATATGAATCAGGAAAGCAAGATGAAGGAAGCGAATTCCAAAGAACTGATGTTCGAGGAAAAAAACTAGAAGAATAAGAGTTTTTGAAGCACTTAGGAACAGTCACAGAAAAAGGATGAGACTTAATTGAATGGCGAGTAACACGAGAATGAATTTTAGTAGCGTCCCTTGGCACAAGGGACGCTAGCTCTTTAGAGCAGTGCCCATTATAGTATTTGTAGAAAAGAGAAAGAGAAGCAACATTACGACGATGTGACAAAGGTTGGAGATTGGCTGCCAGAGCAGGTCCAACTATGTTTACAATTCGTTTTTGCACCTTGTCTAAAAGAGAAGAGCATCATTAGAAGATCCGCCCCAGATGTGGCAACAGTATTCCATACAGGGACGGATTTGAGATTTATTGAGATAGAGAATAGAATCTGGAGTAAGAAAGTGTTGAGCTCGATAAAGAGATGCAACCTTAGCAGATGCTAATTTTGCAATGGATTTGATATACGGTTTAAAAGAAAGATCAGAAGTAAGAGTTAATCCTAGAAGATGAATGGTAGATGACTCATCTAGTACATTACCATTCATAAATATAGGAAGATCTTTTTCTTTAACTTTAATTCAGATAAAATTGAGTTTTATCTGAATTAAAGTTCACCAGCCACTGTGAGCCCCATGCTGTAGCAGAAGTGAGATCCTTTTCAAGCTCAGATACCCCCTCCAAGCAATCAGAGAGTGTAGGCTTCTTATCATGACAAGAGTAAATGGTAGTGTCGTCAGCGAATAATGCCACCTTAGATGTGAGAATATCTGGAAGATCGTTAATGTAAATTAAAAAGAGTATAGGGCCAAGGATTGAACCTTGAGGGACCCCTGAAGTTACAGGATGTGAAGAAGAGTGTTGTCCATCGAGGACAACTTTTATACTACGATTGGAAAGAAAGGACTCAATAATCTTAAAGACGTTACCAGCTACACCATAAGAAGAAAGCTTATGGAGAAGACCAGCATGCCAAACTTTATCAAAAGCTTTAGAAATGTCAAGTGCGATAGCCTTAACCTCTCCACCTCTATCTAATGCACGGTAAAACCTATCGGTTATTACTGTTAGCACATCAGCTGTAGAACGAGAAGACCGAAATCCATATTGATGATCAGAAAGTAAGTTATTTGATTCAAGATGAGAGATTAAGTGTTTGTTGATTAAAGATTCAAAAACCTTGCTTATGACAGGAAGAAGACTAATGGGACGGTAGTTAGATGAATCAGATCGCTCTCCGGAATTTTTGAAAATAGGGATAACAGATGCTGCTTTCCAGCATGATGGAAAACAAGACTCTGATAAGCACTTGTTAAATAGTTTAGAAAGTATGGATGAAAGCTCCGGAGAACACCTCTGCAAAACTACAACAGGAATGTTGTCAGGACCACAAGCTGTTGAAGAGTCTAAGCAGGAAATTATTTTAGATACAGAAGCTGAAGTGATGCGAATGTCAAGCAAGGGATCAACCTGTTTGACGGCTATGTCAGGTAAAACGCAACTAGTGGAATCAAGAGATGATATTGATGAAAAGTTCTTAGCAAACAATCCAGCTTTGTCTTTAGGTGAGGTGACAAAGTCTGAACCATACAAGAGAGAAGGAATAACAGATTTGCCCTTATTATTGATACTGTTAAAGATTCTCCAGAAGTCTCGAGAGCCTAATTTTTGTGATGAGATACGAGATTTAATGACCTGGGAATAGCGAGCTTTGGCGTCAGACAAAACCTTTTTACAATGGTTTCTGGCGATAGTGAACAGATGTCTGTTTTCTGGAGAATTGTTTTGCTGATAGATATGGAAGTAACGGTTTCGATTAGAAATTGCTGCAGCGCAATGTGAGGAAAACCAAGGAGAAGAGTGAGGCTTGACCTGGAATCGTCGAGAGGGAATAAAAGATTCCATGCCAGCCTGAATCCACGAAGTTATGTAAGAAGCACATTTGTCAGCAGGAAGACGAAAGATTTCTACCCAAGGGCCATCACGAAGAAAATCACGGAAAGAGTCCCAGTCAGCTTTAAGGTAGTTGTATGTGGTACGATGATAGGGGGATTCTGATGAAGTAGAAGAATTTGATAATAGTTTTAGAGAGATCAAACCGTGATCAGAAGTACCTAAGGGTGAATGTGGAGAAATTGAGCACTGACTAGGATCCAAAACAAGACATAAGTCGAGTAGAGAAGGTAAATGATTAGGGTTGTCTGGAAAACGAGTTGGAAAGTTGACTATTTGAGTTAGAGATTGAGAAAGGCAAAAGTTGAGGGCCTTAACGCCAGCAGAGTCACTGACACTAGAGCCAAGCCAATCGGTGTGATGGGCATTAAAGTCACCAACAACGACGATATTGGCCGATGGATAAAGAGAGAGGGCTTGGTCAATTTGATCAGAAATAACATCAAGAATAGTGCAATCTTGGGATGAAGGAGAGCGATATAGAACAAAGAGAAAGGCGATAGAGTGAAGTTGTGCTAAACGAAAGCACATAAATGAATAGTCTGTAGATTCAAACCTAGTTTCACGACAAATGGGTGAGTTCTTACGAATGTAGATGCCCAGGCCAAGCATTTAATGGCAAAAAATGGATAAAATGGAAAAATCCGAACAAGCAAGACCTTTATAACATTGTGTAGTCTTTTATATAAAAAGAAAAAAACATGAAAACTTTCAAACAGAAATCTTTAAAAATCATTAAGCTATTATTCTGTTAAAACCATCTAAAAAAAACCATCTAAAAAAAACTCTTTAAAACTCTCCATCTATGTTAAAGATTTTGTTAAAATACTTCTTAAAGTTATGTAAACATTTTGTAAATGATTACACAAATCTAGACCATTTTTACAAACCTTTTAGCTAGATTTAAAAGATAAAATAAAGAGAAAAAAATCTAGAAGTTAAAAACGAGGAGTTTGTTATAAAGTATATAAAATAATTCACTGCTGTATAAAGCTTGAAGTTTTTATTTTGATAAAACTTGAAATCTAAAAATAAATTATGATATATTTAACGAATAACCTTTTTTTGTAGTTATCTTAAACCAAGGTTTTTTTGTTTCAGTTCTAAAAACAAGTACTGTTTTCAAGGTTTTATTTGCAACAAAATTAAAAAAAGTTTGGCTTATCTGTGGTTGTATGATGAAGTTAAGCTCTTTTGACAAAATTAAACAGTTTTTTGATGATGTCAAAAATCATAAATGTACACTTTTGGCAAAAATCATAAATGTAAACTTTTTGAAGATTTGAAGCTCATTCGTGAAGCTCAAATCTTTTTAAGTTTTTGAAGGGGATAGCTTTCGAAACTCTTCACATTTGGAAAGAAAAGTATTTTGTCAACCGACGACTTTATGTTGTTCATAATTAGTTTAAAAAAAAAAATTATATTTCCATTTTTTTTATGTATAAAAATTAATTGCTTAAATAATTTATTAAAAAAAATTAAATAATTTATGCATAAAAATTAATTGCTTAAATAGTTTATTATAAAAAATTAAATAATTTAAGTATAAAAATTAATTGCTTAAATTAATTTATTGCTTTGTTATACTTTAACGCACTAAGTACTTTTTTTATTTAAGTCGAGTAAAGCGGAGCTAGTTGAGCAATTTTTACTAAATCTAGCAGGTCTCAGGAACGGTGTGTCGGATTTACATATTTTTTTCATTATTGGAAAGATAATTTAAATCTCAAAATGGTTGCGAATAAAATATATTTTTAAATTTGTTTGAAAAGATATTGCTTAAAGTTTACCAAACTATTCCACCTGCCTAAAAAGGTGACCAATTGCGTGGAACAAGTTGATCAACCAAGAATTAATATTCATTATATGGGTAAATCATCAATAAAACTATCAATTACAGTTAGCGTGTTTATAATTCATATACCTTTTTTTATACACTTTAATGACGTAAGTAAGAGGAGAAAAAAATAAATAGTAAGAAAGTGTCGTAGAATAAAAATATTATTTTATACAATTATCTTGAATATTGATGCCCGAAAATATTTTTTATATATTTTAGCGCTCAAAAAGTACGCCATTTAATGTATTAGAAACCCCTAATTTTTTGAATGTTTTATTATTTTAGAAAACGGTTTAAAAAAAAATGCTTTTGATTTGTTTTTAATAGGTTTTTATCTCATGTCAACATACTAGAAGGAATGCTTTAAAAAACCTAAAGTAAACTCATTTTAACTAAAAACCTCTTAAAAAGAAGATCGTTGTTATGTTGGAGAAGTGTATCGTTGTTACAACAAAGATTACTAGAATTTTTTTATTTCTAAATAAATATTACTTAAATATAAACAATTTACACGCGAATTTTTTATATATATTTTTTCTCCTAATTAGTTATCAAGCCCTAAATACGTTGTACGTTTCATCTTTCTTTCTTGTTCAATACTTTCTAGTAGTTCTTTACAAACAACGCAAATATTTAATAATATTCTATTTTTTCTTTTATTCATAATCAAGTTATCTGTGCTGTAACATCGCGAAATATGGAAATCACTAATATCTAGATTCCATTTGGAATATATCAAGTTTCGATTACCATACGTCACATTTAAATTTGAAGGTAATGTATTTACTAAATGGTTAGGTATCTGAAAATTTTCCACCATGCATTTTAAACAGCATTTCTTACAACATATTGCACAGACTCTGGCGCGTTGAAATATTGAGAATTTCACTTTTCGACAAATAAAACATTTTTTTCCATTAATAAAGTTTACATCGGAAGAACTTTCAAATTCGGATCTCGTTAACTCTTGTCGAATCTTCAAAATTTCGATCATACTAACGCCAATCTTTTTATCTGTAAAAGCATCATCTTCTTTGCTAAGATCAATTTCATCTAAATCCATCAAACTTTTGGAGAAGCTGGAGTCAAAAGTTATGCCTTGTGAATGCATTACCTCATTTGTTTTCACTATTAAATTATGGTCGATTTTGTTTGTCGTGGATGTCGTGGAATCAAAATAACTTTCATTATATATTAATACTTTATCTGGTTGTTGAAAGCTTATATTGCTTATATCATTTTCAATATTCCAAGATTCAATTTTATTTATTAAATTTTTATCTATACTTAGTTTTATTTTTTTCGTATTATTTTCATCGACAATCTCTTCTTTAGAAGATAAACTACCCGATTGATTCAATTCCCAAACACTATCGGCTCTTGAATCTAAACTGGTCATTCTGCTACGAAGAAAATTGTAAACCATATTTTCAGCATCATCAGGTAAAAATGAAAGGTTTCTCTTGCGAATCTTACGATCTAATGGACTTACTTCATAGGTAACATATTGGTAATCTTCGGGGAAAATTGCTCTATACTTTGCTGTATTTAGCCGCAATTCGTTCATTACACGCACCCATAAGCTCGCCCAATCCTGTAAGTATAGTTTTGCAAGCTCTTGGCTTTTTTCAAATGAATCATAACGATCAATAATAAAATCACACATTACATGTCCTAAAAATGCTTTGAGTTCTGATGCTTCGATATAAAGTGCTTTGCACACGTTTAAGTAATGTTTTTTGCTTTCTGAAACATTTCGACTTAATCGACGCTTTTCACAAAATTGAGTTATTTCAATAAGCGCTTTAAAATTGCGGCAAGTATTTAAACGTTTACTTTCCCAGCTTTCTGAAAGGCTATCTAAGTCACCTATTCCCTCATCAAACTCGCTACTTTGCAAAACCATTCCTAAAAATAAAATATATTTTCTAATGCAAACTTATACATACATACATACATACATACATACATACATACATACATACAAACATACAAACATACATACATACATACATACATACATACATACATACATACATACATACATACATACATACATACATACATACATACATATATATATATATATATATATATATATATATATATATATATATATATATATATATATATATATATATATATATATATATATATATATATATATATATATATATGTATATATATATATATATATATATATATATATATATATATATATATATATATATATATATATATATATATATATATATATGAATATACACAGGAACAATTCAATGGGGGAGGGACACTGTCACCCTCACCTAAAAAGGCATCGGTTTGTTTAAAATATATATATATATATATATATATATTTTTTTTTTCTTTAGTAAATACCTAGTTGAAAAAATTTTTAAAATTTCAGGCCGTATAGACAGAAAAAGAAAATAGAAATATATTTTTATATAATAATAAATAATATATTCACTTTTTTATCTTGCGACTTTGACTTAAAAAAAATCAAAATGTTTTTTTTCAAAACATTTTATTTCATTGCATAAATCTGATGCTTTCTTAATTTAGAACATTAAATGTTATGCCGGTCGCTTAGCAAGAGTTCTTTAAAATTTCCCTTTTTATGGATTATTAAAAATGCTTTTGGTTTAATTAAAACCTAATTGAAATTTCTGCATAAAGCATTTAAGGTTATAACATTTAAGCATTACGATTATAACATTAAAATGGTTTAAAAGTTTTGTGTAAATATAAAAAAAATATTTAATTTATGTAGATATATGCAAAAAGATATTTTATTTAAATGCAACAAATATTTGACTTTTTGTAACCAAAACCCAGTTTTATTTGTAAAAATGTTTTTGCTAAAATCCACATCCCTCCTTCAAAATTTTTTCCGGGTCCAACACTAGTTAGTGACACTTATCGTTGCTGTGACTTTGCTCTGACCCGTTGAACCTAATCTTTGTTTGAAAAATTCTAAAGCGATCTAAAATTAGTTTACTTTGAGAGGAATTTTTTGTTTGAAAAGTACTAAAACAATGTTAAATTAGTTTATTTTGAGAAGAATTTTGGAAATAACATATTTATATCTACGTTTGCTTTATATATAAAACATATAACCAAAAAGAATAAAATACCTCCAATAAGTTCAGCCATATCATCTGTGAATTTAACGTCTTCAATCTCAGTCTCATTTAACCCATAATCCAAACATCGACATAAAAGGTTTCCCAAGTTGAATATTATTTCAGAATCTTTTTGAGGAATACCGTAGTGGGGCTCCGAATGTAAAATTTCAATTTCTCCTCTTTGAGTCAGTAGCAAAGATTCAAAACTTATAATATATTTTATTTTTTCATGTCTTTGAAAATCTTCTGCTCTTTTTTTGTTCAAAGTTCGACAGGCGCCATAACAGATTGCCCAACATTGCTCTTGACTTAAAGGAGAGTCAAACAACCTTAGCACCTCAATTAGCTGCATGAAGTTTTATTCTTTTACTGTGTTTTAATTAATCTACAATTTAAAAATACAAAATAATAAAAAATAGTTTAAACACACTTTTATACTTATAACTGCATGTAGAAGTTTTTTTACATTCACAAAAACACAATTTATGACTCATATAAAATATCCCGTGCAATTAACTTAATAATCACTGTGTTTACAAAGTGCGTAGCTTAGTTATTTTACGAACAATTACATAAATTACGTAGTAGAAATTGCTAACCCTGCGTGGTTTTAAAAATAATAGAAACTTTTTCTATTTTAAAATCTGACAAGAAATACTCATCTCGCGTCATTAATCTTCTCGTTAAAAATAAATACGGAATGCTTTGATTATTATACTTTCAAGTTTAAAAATTTCTTAACGTTTAAAATTTTATAACTAAAGAATATGCGGGAAAAAAACCAATACAATAAGTTTGAAAAACGAGCAAATACAAGTTATTTAAATGTGCTTTTAAATTTTTAATAAAGCAAGTTTTTTCTTAATTCTAAATATATATATTTTTTAAATGGAGGTAAAAAAAAATTTTAAAAAGATATTAATAAACCACAAATAGTCAATAAAAAACAAATAAAAGTTTAGTTTAAAAAGTAAAAGATTGCTGTGCTAACATTAGCTACAACAACAACCTATCGGAGATAAACAACAACTTATCGGAGATAAACATATCGGATATGGGTTAGGTGAAAAATGTCTTGTAACAAGAGTTTCAAGATGTTGTTTTCTTGGGCTGAGTGATGCCTAAGCCTCATATAGAAAACAGGGCATATGGAACACGCCTCTAGTTTAACATAAATATATACTCGTAAAAATCAGCTACAAAAGAAACACGAGTAAAAAATAATCAATAACGGCAACGATAATGATCAGAACAATGCAAAAACAAAACACTAAAAATTAAAAAAAAAAACTTTATATAAAAAAAAATTAATAAAAGTCTTTTTCTATATTTATAAAGTACTTAAGCATTTATCTATATTTACAAAGTATTTATCTATATCTAAAAAGTATTATCATTATTAAAAAAGTACTTTTTATTTAAAATATAAATCAATTAACGTTCAGAAAAAAAATTATTTTTCTTTACCTAGTAATCGAGTTTACTATCTGATTGGCTTATATGTTTTTTGTTAATCACATTAATATAATCTGAATATACAATAGTTTACTAGTTGCAAAAAAAAAAGAGATAGTATTAAATTTATATTTTAGCATGTCTGACTTTTTATTTAATTTGTCTGTAATTTACATTGTATAAAGTTTTGCAAGTCTGAATGTTTTAATTTGAAAGTAATTTAATATAACCTAAATTGTCTTCGTTTTAATTAAGTAAAAAGGTTGATAATAAAAGAAAACTAACAATTACAAAAAAATTGTCAATATGTGTATTCAAGCATTTAGATGCGTTTCAATATTAAAAGTCTGCTTCCTTTTTAGAATTAACTTTAAAAAATTTATTTTTTAAATAAGAATTCTAAATAAGAAAATATTTCATTTAAAAACAACATACATAAATGTATTTAGTAACAAAAACGTTTTGTACATTTCGAGTTGTTATGGGAATAATAAACATTTATTATAATTTATTATCACTAATACGGTTTCGTTAAAACATCAGATTTTAAAAGTTCCAAGATTAATATCGATTTAATAAAAATTGACAGTCTTTACTAATTTTCTGATAACCAACAATGTATTGCAAAAATAAGAGGGGCCAATTCCCCCATTAAAGATCTGCATAATTAGTTGTTTGCTAACGTTACTTGAGTTTAGTTTTTCTTTGCTAATTAACCGAAATAATTGATCAAGTCAGCCACATACCTAAGTCAAAATTCTGGACTGTATTTTTTACCGTAATTAGTTTATAATATTTTTAATTCTTATAATTTTTATATAGTTTTATAATATATATAACTTTTAGATTATTTTATAATTATATTATAATTTTTAGATAATGTTTAATTTTTTAATTTTTATTACAAATGATTATTTTCTAAATAATAATAAATAATGATAATTTAATTGATAAGTCGTAAATATTATAAAAGTACAATACAAACATTAGTGTCGTGGAAGTCCTGTTAGGATGTGTAAAGAAAAAGTAATAGTAAAAATGTTGTTGTTTTCAAGATAATAAAAAATTTAAATATACGTGATTTATCTAACCTTAATGTTTTCAAATTTGATCAATTTTCAAAGCAATATTCATGTTTTTCTTTGTTGTCAATCTTTAAAAAAGTGTTTACTTACTGTAGAAAAAAGAGTGAACAATTTGAAAAAAAGTAAAAATAAATTATAAAATGTTAAATTTTTTTTTTTGAAAGCTAAACTTAGTTTAACAAAAATGATATAAAATTTTTAAAACGATTAAAAATTTAAGATACTTGATTTGCTGAAAAAACATTTTACAATCAGATTTAGATTTCAGATCTCAGTTCATTTCGCGGAAGATTAAGGTTAATCCATCCAAAATGAAAACAATGTTTTAAAGCTTTACAAATGGTAATCGAAACGGAATGCTTCTGTTTCTAATTTTTTTTAAATGATCTGTAGTTGAAAGTATTTATTGAAAATCAAGCAATTATGTTAATAATCTAAACGATTCATGTCAATTACACGCTATTGTGACTTTGTGTAACGTCATAAATACCATTTAAGTTATTAGATTTATTATAACTGTTGGTTATATGCTTTTAAATGTTGGCAGCACAAGGTTGTTTAAATTCAGTCAGGGAGATAAGTATCAGAGGGAAAATGTTTTTGTTTTTTTAATGTAAAATTTGTCAAATTTCAGACTTTCAGAAAAGTTTTATAATTAAACTTTATGATTATTTTGAAAGCAAATATAATGAAGAATTCAATAAGCAAAAAAACTTAGCAATACATTCAAACAATACAAATTTTTAATGCTAATTAAGTATAGTTTTTCACAAAGTAATTCATTTTTTCGACTTTATGAATTCTGTAAGTCGATTTTGTATTTATTTAGTTAACTTGCTAAAATGTAAAAAATGTATGTAAAAATAACGGTATCATTCTGAAATAAAGTTTTACGGACTGGCGAGTCATAAATGAATGTTTAAAACGTATGGAGAAAAAAGACGAAACATTCATACTCAGTTGAATTCCAACAATAAAATTCGGTGGAGGCAGTATTATGGTGTGGCTATGGTAATATGGCAGTATATGGTAGCAGATTGAGAACTTAATCTGCTTCTGGATAAAAAAAACTTTTTGGCTTTCTTTGAAGTATGCTTAGGTCCTAAGCATACAAGTTCCTAATCCCCTGAAAACAAGTCCCTCATACCCTTACTTAGAGTCTAAGGAACTTGCTGTTTCTGTATTATATATTACGTAAAACCGCATTTTATCAGAAAAATTTGTTATAAGAACAAAAAAATAAATAAAAAAAATAAAAAAATTGACATAAACCTTATAATCCATAATTCTATCTAGACTCTTTCTTATTCTACTCCAAGCCTTCAAAGCCCGCACCATAATTTTAAAATTCCTTGAATGAACTGAGTGTCAATGGTTTACCTTTTTTTCTCCATACCGTTTTTTACTCAATCAAACTTCACAATTTTCATTAAAAATGAAAATTGTGAAGTTTAATTGAGTAAAAAACCGTTATTTTTACATACTTCTCAGCAAACGCAAGTTTTTGGTTTTGATACTTTTTTATGCGTGGAACTTTTTGTTCAAACCCACTCTTATTTATTCAATTTTATATAGTCAATGGCCTCACTTGAATTCTAAAATCTTTTTTTAGAAAGCTTGGCGTTTTACGCTTAGCTCTTGATCTTGGCAAATTTTTACAAATCCTAACACATCGTATTTTGCTTAATCCACTAATGGTACTTAATAACAAAGCAGCCACTTCTATTATCAACCTGAATGCTTTACCTTGCTCGCATCAATAGATCACTAACTAAATTTAGCTGAGCTTGAATCCGTCCCTTGATTTTAACTGCCATTCTTGATAATATCAATGGTATGTCAGTCATCTATTAGCGATTACTCATTATCAAGTAATAATATACCTAAAACTATTGCTTATAAAATCTTTTTATAATAATAACTTTTAAAAAATTGGTTTACAAAACAATATGCTCGGATAATCGCTTATTGAGATTTTAACATTCTTTAGGGATTCGTTTAATTTAAGCAAAGAAAGTTTATTAATGTAGTTTTATTTGTCTTGTAAAATCGCGATTAAATTTACTTTTAGAATAATCAAAAATTTTTTATTAAAAATCTTTTCTAAAATAATCTGACGAAGTTCATTTTTCTGACTATAAATGTGAACTTAAATTCGTAAGATGTTTTTGTTCAGTAACATTGTTAATATTGAACATTTAAAAATGCGTTAATACCGGTGGTTCAATATCCCTTTTCTACTTCATTTTGTTAACAAAATGTGGCTAGTATGCATTTTGTTAACAAAATTTGGCTAGTTATCTCCAGGGCCAACGATTCGGGGGCCAAGGGACATTGCACCCACCCATATACACAAACTTTTTTTCTAAAGGACTTTTATTTTTAAGAAGTTTTTAGTTATAGAGGACTTTTTTAGAAGATATTGAAAATTGTGCCTCGCCATTTCAAAGCCCGTCAACTCTGATCTTTGTCGTAAAATTACTTAATTACGTCATTTTCTATAAGAATGAGACAAAATCAGCAACTTGAAATACTTGAATATTTTAATTTTCTTTAAAATTTTAAGGGTATATTCAAATCATTTCATAAAAAAAACTTTAAAATTTGAGACCATAAATTCAAAGCAAATCCAAAGTTATTGCGGTTTGAAGTTTCATAAAACATTGACTTTGCGTTATAGAATTTGCGTTATTAAACGCCCCTGCGATAGTTTTGGGTAACGGAGCAAAGTGTGTTGCAGATCTTTTAAAAGCTCAATCTTTTTCTTTAATGTATAAAAATTTATATTACATTCGTTCATAAAAATTCAGCACTTCATTTTATTTTCATTCATTTCTCTCATTTCAAACAAATTTTTGGCTGCATGAAATTTATAAATCCAAACATAGAAAATTTTGAAAATGACAAAGTCAACGTTTTATGAAACTTCAAACCCAATTACTTTTGAACCACTTTGAATTAAGGCCTTAAATTTTCAGGTCTTACTTATGAAATGATTTAAAGATATCTTTAATATTTTCAGGAAAATCCAATAACTTAACTATTTCAAGTTGCCTAGGCAAATAATGAAATAAGAATAAGCTCATTCTTATAAAAAACGACACCTAATAGTGACAAATATTCGCTAATAAGTAACTAACAATGCTGCGTAATTGCTGGCTTTATTGTTTTGAATTTCATTTTATTATTTACTTACTAAGACACTAATGAATTTCAAGTCGATTCAATGGTTTATATTAGGGTTGAGCGGAGCTAGTTGAGCATAAGCGTTAGTTGGGAAATTAAAAAATCTCAAAAACTACGCAACAATATTGTTGGAAAGCAGTTAAGTTAGATACACGGGAAATTTTTATATTTTAGACCAAAAAGGTAAAAAAAAAATTTTCTCTTGGATGCTTATACTTTTTTTTATCTGCCATCACTTAAGTGTTGATACTTTACCGAATTATGTCTTACAGTTCCCTTTAAAACTTATTAAATGTGGTACCTTGCTTAGCAGGGGTAAGTTGAGCTGCTTTGAAAAAAATAAATGAATTATCGAACATAAAAAAATAACTTGGGTAAGAAACAATTTAGCCGTACATTACTTATATATATTTTTAAAATTAGTAATTTTTAAATCGGGCTTCAAAATTCAAGATGTATAAAATAGTATTTTTATATTTTATGTCGCTTTCTTAATATTTAGTATTTTCTCTTCTCTTAATTACGTCATTAAAGTGTATAAATAAGAAGTTATACACACGCTTACTGTTAGTAAAAGTTTTATTGACGATTCACCCAAGTTTCGTACCATGCATATTTATTTATTTGTTGATTGCTCAACTTACTACATACTATTGCTCAACTTACCCCGCTGAGGCAGGTTGAGCAGCTCCACAAACTTTAGCAAGGCAATATTTTCTCAAAAAAATATTTATACTATACATTTTCTAAGTTATATTATCTTTGAAATATTGAAAAAATTGTTTAAATCCGATGCACTGTTGATGAATTCTGTTAGATTTAGTAAAAATTGCTTAACTAGCCCCACTCCACCCTAATCTAAGACTCATACTTACCAAATTCTTTGACATTTTTTGCTTGTGGTGTACAAAAAACAAAACAAAATTTAGCCATCGACTAAGTACGTACTTATCTACAATATGTAGCCAGCGACATATAATAAAATATTGACATGTAATAAAATCACAATGTAATTTTATTACAATATGTCAATCTTCTCAACGAATCAACATAATCAACACTTAAATTCGAATTTTCAAAATGTTTATAGAGGAACAACCGTTTTTTAACATTTCCCTTTCAAAAATGTTATCTAATATGGCAAAAAACATACCACGCGTTGGTAAAACAGTTTCCTTCATTTCGTTTACGTCAAAAAGAGTGTCTACTGCGTTTCTGAGAAGTTGTGCATAATAATTTTTATTTTGATAAAAATAAACATTATTATGCAACATTATTAGTAACCTCTGCAGAGGTAAAATAAAAGACGTAATAATCAAAAAATACGTAAAATAAAATTTGTTTTTGTTAAATGAATGGAATAGATTTATTTAAATTCTGATCCGTTTTCAGACCTTCGTCAGATCTGACGGCGGAGCTAATCAGACTAAAATATCACATAAATAAAATAAAAATTACTACTTAGCTGTATTTTATGCATATAATTTTTCGAGAAATCAGTTTTATATATAAATACCTCCGAGTTTGCAACTTAAAATTAATTACGCAGTGATAAACAATTTAATCTTTTTAAAAATCAAATTGTTTATCACTGCATAACTAAATTTAATTACGCAGTGATAAACATTTATTAATTAAATGTTTTTTGTCAGAGTGTAAATAAGAAATTTTGTTCTCAGGCTCTAATCATCGCAAGACATTTTCATTTGATCAAAGCACGAACGTATTCAAGTTTGTAGTTTGAATAATGACAGAATATGTCGTATCCAAATTATCAAATTATCCTTCCGATGTCCCTGCCGGCACTTTTGGATGTTGTTGGCTTTGAAAAAGATGTCTGAAGATTAAACTCATTTAAATTATTGTTATTGTTTTGGCCTACTTAAATTAAATGTAATTTAAGAAGGACATGTTATTGTATGTAAAATTTTCTTATGTAATTTATAAATTATTTTTTTATCAAAAAACTTTATTAACAAACAACATATAAGGTAAGCAAATTGATAAACTTCAAAAAATATTGTAAAACAATAAAACGAAATTAGTGGAGTTTATCATAACATTTTCCTTGAAATTAAATAAGTTAATTTCTTTGAAATTATCAAAGCTGAAACATATCACAAAATAAGAGGTTTTTTCCTACCTTTTAAACTGAGACGATGATTTTAGAATTGTGTCTAACAATCGGGAGGATGAAGACATGCACTAGAAAAAGAAACTCATCTTGTAAAAGCGTGTATTCTTGATTTGAGAATAGAGAGAATGAATACGGTTTCTCCTTTTAGATTCGTAATGTTGTATACTATGTTGTTTATCTATAATACTACTGGTAAAAAAGTTACTCGTATGTGATAAAACGTTTTCTAAATGCTAATATTTTTTGTAAATGGGCTTGTTTTAACCACTTTCAAAGAGAGACATAATTGGTGATGCAATTTTAAATGCATAGATGAGTCATTTTATAATGGTAAAGTTTAAACCAAGTTGTTAAAAATATGATAATAAAATATGTGATAATAAAAGTTTTATTAATTGAATCTCTTTCCATAAAATAACTGATTTATATTAAATGCTCATATTACGTTATTAGAAGATATCCTTAATATCTCTGAGTAAGTTCATTTAAATCCATTTTAATTAGTTTTATTAAATGGATTTAACAATTGGTCAAAAATCAACTTGCATCACTGGTACGTTATTAATCTTATTATAACCAATAAATCATCAACCTTATGACATGGTTACTTCTACCTCACTCGGTGATCATGAAATATTTGCTTGCGTTAGAAAAATACATTCCTATAAAATAGATACATACAAAAATTATCAAAGCACGTAGTTATAGCAATTATGACGTAATCAATTTCCAAATCGATTGAAGTCAAATTTATGAGTCAAATGATGCATCAATGACTTTAAAAGATTTTTGTAACAAACTTAATACTTTTTTAAGAAGACTTAAGAAGATTTTAAGAAGATTTGTAAAGAGATGTATTAGGGGAAAACGAGTTCGTTGCTGTCCAATGAAGTTAAGAAGTCAGTTAATGACAGTGAGAGACTTTTAAGAAAAGCACGTGAAAGTTGGAACAAAATTGATTGGTAGGCATACAAATTGTTGTAAAATTTCCGTAGTAAAGTAAACTTGTCAAAAGCTAACTATCACAAAAACTCAATTTCATCACTAAAATATCATTTACGAATGCCATGTAAATGCCATCTACATTCCATCTACATGCCATCTACATGCCATCTAAATACCACCTACGAATTTTATATAGCATTATCAATTGCAACACAAAACTTCGTAACTTCCAATATTTACCTTATTTTTAATATTTACTTCAAAATCTATTTGTTAAAAAAGAGTAACGCTCGTTTTTCATATAAATAGTTCAACAAAGTTGACTGCCGCACTATTATGTGGCAACATCAAAAGAGAGGTTAACAACGCAAATATGGTTGGTGCTGTATTCCTGGACCTGCAAAAAGCTTTTGACTCAGTTTCACATAGCTTACTACTAAATAAACCTGATTAGAGCTGTCGGGTCATAAAGTATTGTGAATAGTACTATTGTCATATTGTATTTATTTTATTTTTTTTAATTTTTTTTATACTTTTTTGTTTATATTTTCGTGTTTTTGTTGAACAGTGCCGGCGCGAGTAGGTGTCACGTGGGGGGGGGGAGGGGGTGCCATTACAACTTTTGCCGACTGATAAAAAAAAAAAAAAAAAGGTCCTCGTTTTCCAAAATTTGCCGACTGCCATTACGACATTTGCCGACTGTCTAACCTATATCGAAAGGGTCGACATTTGCCGACTAACTAGTCTAAAAAGGTCCGATTTGCCGACTAAGGGTCCAGTTTGCCGACTTAAAATCATTGATGGGGGGAGGGGGTGTCACACCCCCCCCCACACCCCCTATCGCGCCGGCCTTGTTGTTGAATATTTTGTTTTATATTTTGCCAACAAACATTCAAAAGTTGAAAAGTTTTGAAAATCATTATGTGAAAGAATATTATTTGCATAGCCGATGAACCTTTGCTAAATTTTGAAAAGGAAATGACCAAAGTAATGCTTTTTGGCACTGCAATTCAATTTTAAAAAAGTGATAACGTACTCATAATATCCTACAAACGTTACTATATTTCATAGTACCTTTAAATATATTTGTTGTAAAGATATTAAATAAAATTTGTAAATAATAATATATATATAATAAATAATAAAACTTGTAAATAATATATAGTTGTATAAAACTTATAGTTGTAAAAAAAAAAAAAACCTATTAAAAAATTTAATTGGCTTGGATACATTTATGATGTAATACAAAGACAGAACTGCTTTGTTTCAATTACAAATCACGGGTTTTGAATTCTAAAGTTTAATCATCACTTTAATAACAAGTTTATTTTAATCTCGTTAATCTGATTAATTTGGTAAATATGAAAAATGGGTGTAAACGATTTTTATTTTTTATTTTTACTCTTCATCCTATTTTCTACTATCATCCTGGTTTTACTCTCACCATAGCAACTACTACCAGTAGGCAATGGCTTTTATATTATTTTATAACAAAACTTCAATGAGGGCAGTTTATTTGTAATATTTATAACTTCACTTCATTATAACAAAACTTCAATGAGGGCAGTTTATTTGTAATATACATAAATAATATTTGCAAATAAGGAATTTATGGTGGGTACAAATTTTGGACTAATATAATAATATTAATTAGGGGGAAGTGAGTAAAACTGGGCCATTATCAAAAATTGAAAATATTTCTATAATCATTTTAATATCTTTTAAAAAAATTCCAACGTATAAAAATATATATATATAAATTTTGAAAGTTACTTAAATATTTTACAATGTTTTTAAAATTTATAAATTTGTCATACCTCATCGCAAGGTTTCCTCTCTTTTGGCGCCTTTTCTTAAATTCTGCAAATGACTTTTTTCTGATATTAACTGTCGCTTTAGAGAAATCTTTGTTGAAATAAATATTTAATCTTTTGAGATTATTGGTTACTTTTAATATTTTCATTTTATCATTATAACTTTACTATTTTATAACTATAATTCTTATATAACCATCTTTTTAAAACCCAGTACGACTTGCACATTCTATTTCGATGATCATTAAACCAAGCTTCTGCGCTAGAAATAATTGTACTTTTTTCTTCCATTTGTGGCTAAGTTTCATAATGATTCTGAGGTAACCCGTCCATCCTTTAAACTATTACGAGGAATATAGAAATTAATCCGAGAAATTTAAAACGCGCGCAAAAGTTTTTTTGGCATTTTTTTCTATTAAAATGTATGCATGCATAACTTTTCTAAGTTAACGTCATTGTCGGCCAATTTAGATTAAATTATATATAACCCACTTTAAAACTATAAAAAATGTATAAAATATGTATAAAAGTATGTATAAAAAAATTTAAATCAAAAACATAAATACCTCATACTAAATACCTCAAACCATTTTAACTTTAGCAATAACTATTTTTGTTTTGTTGTTAAAGACACATAAAAATAAAATTTTAAATTACTTTTTAAGCGGTTTAATCATTTCTGACCATTTTTAAACAATATAAGTAGTCGTGCGGTGGATCAAGCAGTAGGTTAAAAAGTTTTTTTTAACCTTCTGCTTGAAATAAGACTTATTGTTATCGCTAAAATTTCGACTTTAAAGTACAATAAAATGTTTATAAAAAATAGAAATTTTATTTTAAAATTCTATATTTATAGCATTTTGAAATAACTGAAGTTTTAATTTTAAATATATAACAACCATTTAATAGTTTGTGTAAGATTTGTAAGATTATAAATAATAAATAGGCTGAATTAGCAATGTTTAAAGTTTCATTTCAAGTTATTATTTAAAATAACTTACAAAATACTTGTATTCTGTAAGTTATTTTTATATTTTGCAAATTCTTGTTTTTTACTTATAAAATGAAAGATTTACGGGATTCAATTATATTCTTATTTCTTGCATTAACTTGTTGTATTAAATAGTGTGGGTGCTTAATAAAAATATATAACGGTAATTAAAACAAATGAATGTTTTAATTTCCTATTTTAATTTTGGAACTTTTATAACTTCCTTTGTATATTGTATATAATAACTTTTATATACTTTTTTCAGTAGTAGTAACTCAAATAAAATACATACATATATATACAGCGTTTTTTTGATAAATAATTTCAACGAGCTTATTTTATATATATATATATATATATATATATATATATATATATATATATATATATATATATATATATATATATATATATATATATATATATATATATATATATATATATATATATATATATATATATATATATATATATATATACAGGGGCGGACTGGCCAAATTATTATGATGTGGAAAAATATTTTTAACGGCCCTGTAGGCCAACGAAAAATGAGGAAAAGCAGCAAAGATAACAGACGTAAATTACAAAGTTATGCTTAATTTATAAATATATACATTAATGAATAAATATCGAACAGAAAAAATTTATTAGAATACATATACGTAAAAACAAAGTACTTAACAACGGCCCATGTGGAATAGTCCACATCTTCCACATGGCCAGTCCGCCCCTGTATATATATATATATATATATATATATATATATATATATATATATATATATATATATATATATATATATATATATATATATATATATATATATATATACAACTACAATTTTTGAGAATTTTTTTTCTTTAGGTTTAATTTTTTGTTTAACAAAGCATCATTGCGACCTTTTGTAATTCTCTGCACATTTTTAGTGCAACTGTACCTAAGTGTACCAACTGTAGCTAAGTTAAAACTGTAGCTTTAGTTATACCTCGATTAAAAATTTATGCAATTAATCAGATGGCGGAAAAATTGTCAATTTTATTTCTTAAATTAATCCATTACGATAAACAAAACTCAATTTTTTTATCATCCCTTAAATTTGCAAAACCAATATAGTTATTTTGATTTTAAATTCAATATTAATTATCTTGTGGAAAATAACTTTAATAATAATGGAAGTTGACGTATTTTCAAGAAAGATAATTAAATAAATTTGAATCAACACTTTGAGTTATTTCCTGGATGCAAAATTTGAAATGCGTGCTTATGTGCTTTATTTAATTTGCCACTAAGTTATTCATCATCATCGTAAACTTTATGAAGGAGATGCCACGAAAATTCATTAGCAGTAACTGAAGTCCAATCAAATTAAATATAAATTGTAGAGAACTGAGACTTTTTAAAATACTGTTTAAGACTTGAAAAGTATCATTCATAACATAAAATCTGCAAATATTTTAACAAACCTGTGGTATGTTTGTCAGCATCTGTAGAACGTAAATTAAATCCTGCAATTTTTAAAACTCACAATTTCACAATTATAAATTTTACAAAACTAATTTTATAATAAATTATAACTTATTATATTTGATTCATTCATTCTCAGATTTGCAAATTCAATTCATTAAAATCAGTTTTATAATTTATTTTTTTTCATCAATAATAAACTTAAACTAAAAGAAATCTCTTAAAGAAGCAAATTGGAACGTAAATAGTTAGTTAATTTACTGAAACTTGCGTTTGCCTAAGGCTAAAGAATAAGCATTCGCCTTAATACAATACTAATGTTGCATTAATGTTGCGATAAGACAAAAATCCCAATTAACTACTCTCTCTAATATTTGAAAATAATATTTAACAATGACTTTGAAAGCATTCAAAATACTTTATTAATTAGTTTGAATCCAATTCACAATTTACAATACAACGGTTGCACTTGCAAAAGTGGTTCGCTTTTAATTTTTAAAAACAGCAAAAAAGAATTCACTATTTTATAAAATCTTGTTTTAGAAAAACTTGTCTGAAGAGTTTAAAATAAAAATAAAAAGACTATATGTAAAAACATAACTGTGACTGTATATAAAAATATAACTGTGCGTTATATTTTTGAAAATCAATTTTCAAGAAATTGCTGGTCATAAAGTAAACTTCAAGCTGGTCATAAAGTAAACTTCAAGTAAATATAAATAAAACTTTTTTTTGTGTTATCACGTTATTAATTTTAATAAAAGTTACAAAAGCTAACATGCAAAGACACAAAATTCTATAAAATATGTTTACTTTGTGTGTGTGTGTCTTAAGGGTAAAGTAGGGTAAAGTAGGGTAATTTTGGCATCCTTTTAAAAGACACCTGAAAATATTTATTTATTAGGATATTGAAACCATATTTGGGTATTGTAGCAAGATAAAGAATCTTCTTAATAATGTTAGTTTAAATATCTTTTTTTGTATTAATTTATAATTATTAACTTTTTTTTCTACATTTTTACATTTTTGATAATGTAAATGCTTTTTTTTCTCGTGAATTTTCACCAAAAAATTATAACTATCTTTATTTAAAAATATGTAATATTATAAATAAAATGTGAGTAACAATAATATGAAACTCAAAACATATAACAAGATATAAATGTTCTCTAAGGACTACTCTAAGGAGATAATTTCAGCTAATAAATAGTTTTTTTTATTTCGGCAGTGTCAAATTTCCCGAACTGTACTTTCTTCAAAACTTAAATGGAAATAGGCATTTGAGATATTATGTATAAAAGTATACAATAAAAAACCCCACAATATAAATTAGTTTTATGTCAGAATATATATATATATATATATTTAAATAATTCAAAATGTGTTCTACAAAATAGAATGCTCAATGTTCTTAAAAGAACAGAGCAATTATAAATTAGTAGAAAATCACTTAACAAAAATTTTGTTTATTTCTGATGAGTCTTTATTGATGAAACACAATGTAAAATGAAAAAAAAATTTTGTTAAGTGATTTTCTACTAATTTATATATATATATATATATATATATATATATATATATATATATATATATATATATATATATATATATATATATATATATATATATATACATATATATATATATATATATATATATATATATATATATATATATATATATATATATATATATATATATATATATATATATATATATATATATATATATATATATATATATATATATATATATATACAGTATGGGCCAGAAAAAACCGGCCAAGAAATTTTATGTGGTTTTTTTACAAAATTTGTATGTATACAGAAAACAAATTTAATGAGTGATTTTATATAAAGTATCAATATATAAATATCACGCTTTTAACAGGTATATATAAAACGTATATATATAATATATATATATATATATATATATATATATATATATATATATATATATATATATATATATATATATATATATATATATATATATATATATATTTTATATATATATATATATATATATATATATATATATATATATATATTTAAAAAGATAAAAAAAAACACCAAAATGTTTTTTTGAAGAGAATCAACATTAAAGCATTAAAAGACACATTTTATAATGTAATGATGATTTAATAAATAGAAAAGTATTACCAAATATACATAGTACAAAATAATTGTTGGCAGAATTATTGTATTCTATTATTTTCTTGAAAGAATCATTTTATTTGAAACAAAATCTCAAAATCTAGTTCTAGGTCATAGCACCTTTTGCAGCTAAGACTGCTTTGATTCTTTTAGGCATACTGTCAACAAACTATGTTAATAACAATGGTTCAAAGCTATTCTATGCCTCTTTTACGCAATTCAAAAGACAAGCATACGAACAAGGATACTGTGTTACTGGTATTGATCCATATTGCCTTTAATCTTGTGTAATCCTTCCTGTAGCATGTGCGGCAAAGCATCCCCATACGTTAATCTTTTTTTGATGCTTAACTGTGGCTTTTATACATTCATGGTGATACTTTTCATTTCTACGCCTCCAATTACGAAATCTTCAATTGCATCTAAAGCTAAAAGGAGACTCATCTGACCAAACAACTTGCTTCCATTAGGTAATAGTCCAGTCTTTATGCTCACTGCACCATTAAAACCTACGTGCAATGTTGATCTTTGATAAAAGAGGTTTTTTGATAGCCCAATGAGAATCTAAATTTTTACACTCATGTAAACAACGAATTATGGTTTTTCCAGAAATATTGGTATTACCAGTTTCTGCTTTTATCCCATCTGTAGAAATACGGCGATTTTTAAGGGCAGCTTGGACAATGCGTCTATCTTCTCTTTTAGTAGTTTTTCTCTTTCTTCCTGATCCAGATTGATGGACTGTTTCTCCTGTCTCCTTATACTTCTTTAGAAAATCAGTAACAGTACTTTTTCCGCATCCAACCTTTCTTGCAATATCTCTATGAGTCATACCAAAGGATGAGATCTCAATAATTCTTCCTTTACTAATGTCATTTAAAACCATTTTTATATATTATATATTTATCTAGTCTAAAATGTAATAAATTAGCATATTTCATCATTAATAAATACATCTTAGATTTTTTTATATATACAGGGTTAGGCTAAGATTAACCCTGTCTATCTACAACTTATATTTTATTACAAAATAATCAAATAACTTAAGTTATTTGATTTAACCACAACTATGACAAATAAGAGCCGAAATAAGAAATTGTTGAAAAAAGAAGAAAAAAGTTAAACTTAGACTCAATATGAAACTCTTTTTTAATATAAGAAATGGGATATAAGACATTTAAATAAAAAAGAAATATGTAAGAAATATATAAGTTGAGATATTGGTTTTAATATCTGAGAAATGCTTTTAAAACCCATAAAACGTAAATTTTTCTGCAAAAAAATCTTGGCCGGTTTTTTTGACCCATACTGTATATATATATATATATATATATATATATATATATATATATATATATATATATATATATATATATATATATATATATATATATATATATATATATATATATATATATATATATATATATATATATATATATATATATTTAATGTTGATTTCGGTGCCCCAAGAAGTCCTTACGGTCTTATCACAGAGCACCGCGGAAGAGCATTTAATAGGAAGTTCACACTTCCTTCCCAACCGATGTCGCAAAACTTGTCCAGAGGTGGGGTTTGAACCACGGATCTTACATTTCTGAAACAAGTGCGCTACCACTGCGCCACGGCTGCTCAAATATATATATATATATATATATATATATATACATATATATATATATATATATATATATATATATATATATATATATATATATATATATATATATATATATATATATATATATATATATATATATATATATATATATATATATAGCGCTCAATTTTTTTAAAAGTACAGAGCAATAATTTAGTAGAAATCAGCAATTTTTTATATTGTGTTTTATCAATAAAAACTCATCAGAAATCAAAAGTCTTGTTTGAATAACCCTGGTGCGAAAGATGTGATTGATCAACAATCTTGTACAATGTGTCAATACAGCTATGGTAATCCTGTTGATCCTTTTTTAAAGGATCCGTGGCAGCCGTGGCGCATTGGTTAGAGTTATGGCTCAGAACCCAGAGGTCCGAGTCTCCCACGGTGCTCCGTGATAAGACTGCAAGGGCTTCTGGTAGCACCTAAATAACCTAAAAAAAAAAGGATAATTGGGATAAATGCCATAATTGCTGTTAATGGCGGCATGAAAAATGTGCTGCAATATGCGGTTTTATGTTAAAAAAGCATTTACCTGTGATGTCTGTATGAAACCATGATGCTTTAATAAATTTATATTTCATATATTGATAAACTATTTTTGAACTTTCTAAAATAAATCTCTTGTTTTAAAGTTTTTTTTAAATCTTGCATTTTTATTTATGTAAAATAATATTTTATGAACTATTTATGAGTTTATAAACATGAATTCTTGTTTAAAAAGGAACTTAGAAATAATAATCATCGAAATCATAGAAATTAATCATCATTTTATTTACAGTTTTAATTTGGAATTTTTCTAATAAGGTTTCTTATTTGGGTGATATATTCCTACTTTACTAAAATAGGTGGTTTAAAAAATTTATTTATCAAAGTGTTTGCAACGCCCTCACTATGCCAATTAGGTGTAAGAAAATTTCATTTAAGAGACAATAACTTTATAAGATTCAGATTTACAGCTGTTTATGATATTTTAAATATATCAATGCGTTTTCAATAATCTTCCTAACTTTCTAAAGTATTTCGAACTAGGTCGCTAATTTCGTCATTTTTGAATACTTTTTTAAAAATATATCTTACATAAAACTTCAAAAGTTTGAAAACATTTTTAACTTTTATATATAGATATATCTGCAGGGCATCTATATGCTTGATTTATTAACGTTATGAGAGCAAATTTTGCCTTTAAACAACAAAATAGCTTTATACGCCGAAATTACCTTACTTGTTATACTATTACCCTACTTGTTTTTGCTATTTATTGTAATATATCAGATTATACTGTGATGAAAAACAATAACAATAATTATTGTATTGCTTTTGTTCTTTTGTTCTAACAGCACAATTAAGTCAAAAAACTTCTGTAATTTATTAAGCATTGGCGTTTGATTTTTCACTAAAATTTTTAATTTTTTGTCGGGTAAATCCGTTCGTTTCGTTAGCGTCAAAAAATTAAACGGATGGAAATAACTGAAAACTTCCGTTAAAATATTTTAACGATTTTGGATTTTTAACTAAATGGTTAATTTCATTAGTTTTATATATTAAATTTTTTTTTTAATAGTATAAAAAAAAGTTTCATTTAATCAAATTAGATTAAATGAAATACAAGGAGCAAAAAAAAATTTAAAACGTACAGCTCCATTGTCGAACTGTTGGTTTTGAAAAATTAAAAATTTTAGTGAAAATTTTACATAAGCGAAAATTTTAAATAATTTTTATACAAACATAAATTTTAAATTTATTAAAAACTATATTATTTTGCAGCTTTAATCAAAAATTTTAAGTTTTTTAACATTTGATAAACTTATAAATTGAGTTTAAAATATATAAGTTGAAATATAGAATATAAATTATTGAATACAATTTTAAAATATAAATATTTCTCGCTGATAAACTTCAGTTAGTTGGGTCAGTGTTTTTATTTAATCCTTGCTTACTTGCAAATTCAATAAAAGTTTGGGTATCAAGTGATATCTTCACTTTTTTATTTTTTAGATGCATGGTAATTTTATAAAATGGAGCTATAGCATTTTGAATTGTATACTGTGACTTGAATTGTATACTTGAATCATATCATATCAATACTGTGACTTGAATTATATATTTTGAATTGTATAAATTGAAAATCAAGAACAAAAATCTGGTTGAGAGGATTTAATAAAAGAATTGCACATTTATTATTGAGGAGCAATTTCAGAAAAGTTTGAAGTATATTAATTATAAGTTTTAATACAAAAACCTTAAAAATAATACAATATTGTGCTCTTTTTTTAGTATTTTGAATCAGCAAAAAGGCAAATAGTGGCTGTCTACAACCCCAAACAATGGAAAAGTTATTTCTGTAATAAGCACAGAAGATTTCATTTCATGAAGCAATTGGTGATATGTTTTTAATTAAAGAAGATACTCATTTTTTTCAATGTTAAAGCATGTCATTAGTTGTAACACAAAAGTTTTTACACGGTGGAAAGACATTTCAATGGTTCTTTCCGTTGAGATCAAACTTTGTGATTTCGTGAAGCACTTCAACGCTGAGAAATACATAGCGTTTTGATGATAACAAGCGAGAAAATGAGAAATTAAAAAAAAAAAAAAGAATAACTACTTGATTTGAGCCTGGAAACAAAAGGCCAAAAAATTAAGTCCCCCCTGCCCCAAACGTGAGAGCAACAAGTTAATGAAATATTATTTGTACTATTTTCAACTAGAATTAAATTCATCGAGAAATTTCATAGTATAATTTCTCTGCGTTCAAAAATTATGACCATATAAAATTTGCAAAATATTTACAATGAAGTTTGAAATTTATTGATGAATATAAGTCTAGTTAAAAATAGTTCAAAAAATATTTCATTAACTTGTTGCTCTCACGTTTAAGGTAGGGAGGGGGGAAGCTAAAATTTTGGGGCTTTTTTCATCACAATTTTTTGCACAGCATCCTTATTTGACATAAGTATAAGCATAAACACAAACAAAACTAAGTTATTAAGATTACAGAGCCTACAAACAACGCATGTAAAGGAGTTAACTATTTAAAGAGATGAGAAAACCCTTCCCCTGTAATGAAATACATGAATGTTTTAAATATATCAAAACTTAATTCGCTTCAAATATTAATATTTATGTATAAATATAAGAATAACTTGCTGTCAAAAGTGTTTTCTGATATTTTTACATCAGCATTTTCATAAAAATACAATCTTCGGTCAAATAACAACCATAACTATCACTTGAGCAGAGTAAAATCGCAAGTGTCGAAATTCTCAATTATTAGCCAAGACCCGTCATTATGGAATAGATAAAAAAAATAACTATATAAAAAATTTGATAAAGACTTTCTCTTTTAAGCGAAAAATCAAACTGCACTCCTTAATTTCTGACATATATGTAAGTATGTTTGTATATGTGTGTGTTTTTATTGGTATATGTATATACGAGTATATATGTATATATGAGTTTTTCTTTATTCTTTACGTAGTATTTAACAGATAAAATATTCTATTGTAAATTTTCTAAAGCCATGTGGGCTTTAAATGATATTGTAAAGGGGCTCTATGAAATGATTGTGGTGACACCAGTCATCCTTTTCTTCTTTGAGCCCTTGTCTATTTAATATATATATTCTTTGTGTAACGTAAAAGTTTCATTGTAATTTTATTATTTTATTTTTATATAAACAGCAAAATTTATTTAAAAAATTATATGTATATATAAATGTTTGGAGTTTATTCTATATCCGGAAGTTAGAAATCTCGAAGATCAAAAAATGCTGGCGCCACCCCTAATTAAAATAGATCAAAAAATGGCCACCCCTAATTAAAATAGATTAAAATGTTTTAAGAAGTTCAGATTCTGATCAATTTGCCTAATGAATCTAAATAAAATCATCCAAACCAAATAATCGCGCTCAACACATGGCGTTTAAAGCTTTTTTTACCCAGGCAGTAATTATCATAACTATTGATATGGGACTTTAATATACCTGTCAACACACTTGAAACACTTATTGAATTAATGGTAGATTCAAAAAGCGAAATAAAACATTTGATTTTTCAAGTCCAAGATACACTTCATACTCAAATCGCAATTGGGTTTTTGACTTCAGCTTAAGAACTCGTGGTGGCTTTCAGAATTACCCAGAATTACCCGGGCATTTGAAAGTTAACATCAGTTTTAGTTCCAAGAAATTTTTAAAATGCTTTTATTACACAAGCTCTAATTCTTAA